TTGTGGCCTCTTGAATATAATTATTTTTCTTAGTAATAGGCTATTTACTACATGAAATAATGTGACTATAAAGCTTTTTAGACTTTTTAAATAGCTTATATTTGCAATAAAAACACTTAGCTGTATATCTATTGTCTGCACCTTTTTTGAAGAATGCCAAAACTCAGTCAAATAGTGATTATAGATTAATATATTAGGTAAAACAAAACCAGACAGTAGTTGAGATTGCATAATATTATTATAAATTTAAGAATTTTATTTGTTGACTATTGATAAGAATATGCAAGATAATATTTTTTATATATTAAATTTTCTTTTTTTCACATTATATATAAAATTTTGAGTAGTTTCTAATTTATTTTTATTATAGGTTTAGTTGACCAAATTTGTGTTTTAATTAAATTTGTATATTTTGATTTATTGTTAATATCTTGTCATCAAGTGATTGATATTGATACCATTTGAATCATTTTAATGAGATGATTTGATTATTTAATTATGAAATATCAATAATAAATCAAAATATATAAATTTGATTGAAACACAAATTTGGTCAACCTAATCTAAGATTATGTATGTATTAAAAGATAAGAAGTATAAAGTTTTTTTATATATATATTTTTTTCATATTGCTAACAAATTTCTTTAAACACATAAAAGTTTATTTTATACCATTATGTTAATAAAAAATTGTCTTTCTATAATAAGTATTTTATTCTTGCAACAGCAGTTTGAGTTTTTTTTCTGTTATACAGATACTTATTATATTATTACACAACTTTCAAACAATACAGATTTTTTGAATAAAATATATATTTTTGTGTTTTTATTTCAAATTCACATTTTTATATATTTCATTTAATAATAATATTTTTCTAGTTAACTATATTATTTGATTGAAAAGAAGTAGCATATTTGTATTCTAAATTTTGCACATATTCTAGTTTAAAAAATACTAAAAAATCTTCTAATATTTGCAATTTCCAAATTCAGATGAATGATTTAATTAAATTGCTTTTTAAAAATTGAGATCTTTTTGCTGATACTATATATTAAATTTTAATAAGATCGAATTGAGTTATTTAATTTGTTAAAGTAAGGCTAATACTCTTACTTATAAAAAAAGCGAAGTATATTTCACATGATTTTTTTTTTAAAATTTTACTACTTCAGTATCAATTATTAATTTGTGTACATTATTTGAAGGCTGAGCTCTTTAAAATAATATATATAGTCTTAAAATAGTGCTAAAATTCAAAAAATCAATAAAATAACAAATTATGTAAAATAAGCTATATATTTTATATATTTTGTATAAGATAATATTATGTAAGACAGTTGTATCAATATTTATATTAAAACATTCCAACAACTCTTCCCAATGATTACTTGTACCAAACTTATGGCTAACAAAAACAAAAACTTGTTAGAGAAAAACAGAAGAGACAACTACAAATAACAGTTTTTACAGAAGTCAAGACTTGTTATGTTCTTTATCTAAACTCCTCTGTATATTTGGCATGTAAGTTAAAAGCATTTCTGTACAAGATAACTAGCAAAAAGATGTGCTCTTATACAGAAAATTTTAATAAAAGCTTTGCTTCTGCTGACAAAGTTAAAGATAGTTGGTCTAAAGAGAACAACAAGCAAGTTTTTAATACACTTCTTATCAAGGTTTAAGGCTATCTGCAAACTGAATCCTTCTTCTATACTCTACTTTTTTAACCTTTATAAAATTTCTTTAAAAAGTGAGAAAAACAGTATATCCTATCAAAAGATTGACAACAACAATTGCTGCCAAAAAAGGAAATACATGTACATGTATACATATATACTTTGTATTATAATGTAAGATACTTTTCCTCAAGAGGTTGTAGTGGTTATACCAAAAATGTCTGATTTGCTAATATTGGTTGACGGACAACAGCTCGTTAACTTTGCTCAAGAAGATACAGGTTGAGAAACTGCACCAATAGGCTTAGAATAGCATATAGAAGTTTTGACACTTGGAGCTCTACTTTAAGACTGGATGATTTTTAATATTTTTATATTCTAAATATAGACATAAATGATTAGCATAGAGTTTAGTCTAGTTTATTTGTAATACTATATAATTTTTACAATCCAGTATGGGTTTAATAATGCTATCTTTATTTTCTTTTCTTTTATTTTTTTCTTTTCGTTATTTGTTTTATTTGGTTTTATTGGTTTAGGTGAACCAGAACTCAACACTGTAATATTTTCTTATTTTTGTTGTGCCCATTGTATTTGTGTTTATAGTTCATTTTGTAAAAAGAAAAGCTAATTTTGTTATGGTGTGTGACACTGCCCATGACCAAAGGATAACCTCTAGTGAGTTAGAGGCCCAGAAAAAGGCTTGAAATCCACTGAGACAAGTCATATCTGGCGAAAGCGTGGGTACGTCACTTTACAGGTGGATTAGTATAACTAATATTAGGAAATATAAATTTTTTAATATAGTTTAATCTGCAAATAAAAAGTGGCAAAACTGCCAAATTATAAAAAAATATTATGCAAGACCATATGAGACATGTAATTAGAATTTATAGATTGCTATAATAATATTATACAAGATATGTTAATACAAAATATTGATATATATTAAATTAAATTACATATAAAAAAATTTTATATATAAATAAATTTATTAGATGGCATGCCAAATTGTTTAAGGCATACTATTGGCATGCCATAGTGGTATGCCACTATTGGCATGTCTATACCACTATGCCAGATACTCTACCTCTAGTATGTAATAATCACGCATCATATATATTCCTGAAAATTTAAGATCTCCACTACGCTTCAGATAATTAACTATAAGTATGAGCATCATTTTATAGTATAGTTTATATTTATTTATTTTTATAAGCTTCTCAATTTGTTTCAAGTTATAGAAATCGAATTATAATCTACTGTAATTCAAGATCACAAGCATTTACTTTATATAGAACATTCAAATCGTTCATTTTTATTTTTTTATACTAAGTTTATTGTGTGGAATTACATTCTTTTCGATCAAATTGATGAATAACTAGTGTATTTTTTCATGTTATTGTAATTGTATATATAATTTAACTTATCATAGTGCTCTAAATTATTAAATTTAAATATCAGATGATACAAAAAAATGGATGCAGAAGTTTTTCAGATAAGTGATTTATGTTTTAGTATCTTTTAAGAATGCAATGATTTACTAACAGAAAATAAAACTTTAGGCTATACTTTAGCTTTGAAAAAATGCTTATAAGTACTATCAGCTCCATTCAATCAGTTATTATTATCGAGGTTGAGTTGATAATATCCCTAAGAATGTCATATTTGTTGTCAAAAGAATAATAATAAGAATCGAAGATATATACTTTTCTATTTATTACTATATAGTGATATTAAGGCCGTTTGAAGTTGATTCTTCGGTTAACATCACTTTGCCAGGACTCTCGAGAGGGGGGGAGGGGGTAAAATGAAACGAACATATAAAAATGAACAAAGGTGAGCAATTTCATTGGTTGATGTAAATCAGGTGACTGGCGAGAGTCATCCAGCGTTTTGATTGGCTGTTCATTTTTCGGGGGAGACTTCAGCTGGGGGAGTGATGTTAACCGAAAAATTAACTTCAAACGGCCTAAGTTAGATAAACGCAGTGGTGTTGAGGCCAAAGGGGGCAAATGGTTAAAATGCATGATAAATAAGGTGTAAATTTCATTGACAATAACAATTAAAACGTATAAATTAGCAGTCAGCAATAGACATTAGTATTTAAAAAAATATACTGTTTTTTTAGTCAATTCATTATATGCACAAGGTAAATGTAAAGAACAAAAAATATGAAAAACTATTTAATTTGCTGCGCTACACTACACTAAAATGATAACTTTTTATTTACAATTGCGCATATTTTTTGACTGCATATATTTCTTTTTTTCAGATTTGACAAGTACGACTAAAGACAATACTGCAAGGTCACTCCCCACAATACGATTTCCTTTTACATTCACCAGTGCGACGAGACCTGTAACATGATGCCCCTTGGATAACAAGACACCTTGTTTTATAGAAAAGAAATTCGGAACACGTAGCCCTTAAATTCATTTCCAAGAGAATCGGCAGAAACCTCAGCACTGATTCTTTTTTCATAAAAGATACGTCTATTCAAAGTCGCACCAAAAAACAAATATGATCCAAATCAGCATATTTGTCGAGCATTTTAAATCTCTTTATAAAGTAAATTTATATGCTGTTTTGCATAATTTAATAAATAACCAATTGATATTCTTATAAATTTGTTTATAAGTCAAAAAATATTGAAAAAGTAATCTATTGTATAGTATAATCTTCGTCGATTAATTTTGGCTTTTTATGTATAACCATGTGATCGATCAAATAATATGCATGATTGCATATCCGTATATTTTGATTGGTCGTCGGGCTAGTGATATATAAGTTATATATCACCAACTAGAGATGCCTAAGATTAAATAGGTTATCTTAATAAAATTTTGAGTAATTTAAGATTTGTTTTTTTCTACAATTTGTCCAGAGCTGCCCCAATTATCACGTGTTTAGAAAATCGATTCTGATTCGTTTTGTGGTTTTAGGACAATCGAGTCTGGTATAAATAAGGTTCGACAAGACAACTATTTATAACCTCTCCGGTCCCAATGAACCCAATAAGGAATTTGTAACTAAAAATAAATCTGATTAACGTCATCTGCTTTTGGTTAGCCTTGTTTCCCACTCAAGCTGTAGGACAAATCCCTAGCAAGTTGAACCACTAAAATACCTTTGACTATTACCTTTTCTACTAATTTCACTACTCAAACATTGTACAACGTTGAATTCTTGCGATCGTTTCGCTTTTCTTGCGTTAATGGTGTTACGTTTTTTTCATCACGCTCGAATTTAACTCTTATACCAGACAAACTATATAAGGTGTCCACTTACGACTACGCCTTTGACAAAACTTCTGATTTGAAAAAATGAGCGATCAAGGCGAAATAACACCCGAAGAAGGTGGTATAAATAAACAAGCTTTTACTACTTGCGCAAAATGCGGGCTTATGATTGTAGGACAGTTTGTACGTGCATTGGGCGGAACATATCATTTAGAGTGCTTTAAATGTCAGGTATTAATAATTCATCACTAAACCACACATAATATACTGGTATATATCGTATTAATGTTGTTTCTGTATACTTAGGATTGTGGGACTGTTGTGGCTTCTAAGTTTTTCCCGATAGATGGAGCGGATGGAAAGCAACACCCTCTATGTGAACGTGATTATTTTCGGCGTCTCAATCTTATCTGTGAAAAATGTGGAGGTGCTCTTAGAGGATCTTATATTACGGCACTTGAAAAAAAATATCATATTGAACATTTTACATGCTCTGCATGTCCAACGGTATTTGGTCCTCAGGATTCGTATTATGAACACGATGGGCAAGTTTATTGCCATTATCATTATTCTACACGGTTCGCGGTAAAATGTACAGGCTGTAAAACGGCCATTTTGAAACAATTTGTAGAGATTAATAGAAACAATATTGATGAACATTGGCATCCAGAATGCTATATGATCCACAAGGTATATAGATTCTTATATTTATTTCATGAAACCGCATTGGTTTCTTTGTTATTGTATTGTTACTATTATCATTTCATGAGTTTCAGGTGATAAAATTATACAAGCTTTTTTTGTTTGCCTCTGCTGATTGATTTAACATTCTTTGTGCTATAATCATACTTTATGAATTTGTGGCTTAGTTCTGGAACGTTAAGCTGGCAGCACAAATAGATGAGGGACCTGGCTCTGATGGTAATATTTTTCTTTAGCCTATCGCAATCAAATGCTAATTATTTAATAAGATTTGTATTTTTAAAATTAGACGAGCCTTCGGTTGAAGATGTAACACCCGAAAAACTAAAACAGCAACAAAAAGCTATAGAAGAAAAAGTTTACAATATATGGACTGTACTTTCTGCATTCGAGGAAATGTCTGCTGCATGTATCTCTGATATGCTTCTTCACGTGTCAAATGGAGCTTATCTTGAGGGCGTAAAAATGATAGAGAGATTTATCAATCATGTTGATATCTTATTTTCTGCAATCGATGATTTGGAAGTTCAGTTAGTGCAAGCAAGCGGTCAGGGTATGCATATGTTACCCTTTTATGGTCATGTGGGGGTTTTTTTTTTGTTTCTCTAATTGTATTAATAACTTAATGGTATCAATTAATTTAGGTTTACAACATAACAGGGAAGCCAAAATGCTTTGCAGGAAAATTGTCAATTTTTTTTCATTATTGTCACATACTCAGGAAGCAGGTGTTAGAAAATTAGGTATCACACAAGAACTTTTAGCATTAGTAACAGGCTTGGCACATTATTTGAAAATTCTAATTAGAATCGCACTAACCGGTGCCTTAAAATTGGTAAATTATCATTGTATATTTATATGTTATTGGTTCTAATTTAATTGATTCCCATAATAATCAATTGTATCACTTCAAAAAATCTACAAAAGGAGAGAGATTTCAATAATCCATTAGCAATTGGTCAATTTTTAAATAAACTCGTCGAGCTCACAAAAAAAGAAGGGAAACAAGTTATAGAACCAAATGCAGACAATGAAATCACATCCGATCTGTGTCATGTATGTCGGATCACTGTTGAAGAAGAATGTTACAAATATGGACATTATCGTTGGCATATTGGTTGCTTAAGGTGTTCTGGTTGTTCTCGAGAATTACGTACCATATACCGTGACGCTACATTTAATCAAATTACTGAAATGACGTTCTGTCCTGCCCATACAAATGAACAAGCCGCACCCGGATTTCAATACGTCACGCAGCTAGAACAGTACACGTATTTGTTACGTGTTGAATTATCTCGCATGTATAATTTATTGAAACGTAAAGGTAAAGTTTAAAACGTCATTTGTTTATATTAGGTTATTTATCAGTAGCAGTATTTTTTTATTCTGCTATTCGATACATAATAATAACAATGTATATATATTTTTACGTAAAGATGAACATAGTCTATCGGATTACGACGACATTCGTAGTGGTAGAAAGACTAACAAAGAAGAAGCCGGTCTTATTCGTAAAGATTCACGTTCAAAGTCCTATTCTAGCGGTGATAAATCATATGTATCTCTTAATACAGACATAAAGCGTATGAAGTCTGTTTTGGATCGCAAAGTGTCAACTTCTGAGAGAATTGCTAAGACATCAAGGGTAGTAGAACATGAACAACCAAATACTTCACAGACTCAGGAAGAAACCTCTAAAGATAAATTAGCTAGAGCACCTTCACAACATCATGTCAGAATTATTGACGATAAAATGCCAGATTCACAAAATGGTGATGCTCGTCTGAAATTTGATCTAGAAAATGAAGCGATTACATTGGCTGATATTTCAGCAATTGCAGCTGCAGAAATGTCAACAGAAGAAAAACCAAAGAAAAAATTCAAACGAGTATCACGTACTAAACTTTATATGTCTGAACTTTCAGGCCTGGAATATTTTATTGTAAGGCATGTAGCTGTTCTTATTATGGAACCATACGTTAAGGACTATTTCAACCTGGAAGAATTGTTAGACTTGATTGGATCTAAGAAGGCAACATTGTGGACGAAATTTGTACAGCAAATTAGACCTAAAGAGGTACCTGTAAAGAAGAAAGGTAGGGATTTGTGATATGGTCCAATTCTTCTGTTATTGTATAAAAGATACAGCATATGTTTAAAATTTCGCACTTATCAATATTTTTATCTCAATTATTTCCATGCTATTATTGCACATAATCAATAATAGGCACGTTTGGTGTGCCCCTAGAAGTTCTAGTTGAGAGATATGGTGTGGACTCGGTACTAGGAGCAGGTCCTGGTCGAATAAGAGTCCCTAGTTTTATAGACGACAGCATATCAGCTATGAAAACAATGGGTAATTAATGCATTTGAATATTTGAATAATTTATTATTTTGTGTTATTAATTCATTGCCAAACATTTATAGACATGTCTGTTGAGGGCATATTCCGTAAAAATGGCAACATTCGACGTCTAAAGGATCTCAGCGAAGCCATTGACAGAAATCCTTCATCAGTTAATCTCTCCGAAGATAATCCAGTTCAAGTTGCCGCGTTAATGAAAAAGTTTCTTCGTGACTTGCCTGATCCACTTCTTACCTTCAAGTTACACAAGCTTTTTATAGTATCACAAAGTATAATTTGAGTTCTGAACTATTTTATTTATGCAGTCCATAGTTGCGTTATGTAAATGCCAATATTTAATTGCCTATGTAAAAATATATAATTCAGGACTTCCAAATGAGTCAGATCGAAAGAAAGCTCTTCACTTAACGTGTTGTCTTCTACCTAAGATTAATCGTGACACAATGGAGGTGCTTTTTATATTTTTCAAATGGGTGGCTTCCTTTTCACATGTAGATGAAGAAACGGGTAGTAAGATGGATTTACATAACCTTGCAACAGTAATTACTCCTAACATCTTATATTCGAAGTCAAAGGATCCTATCAAGGATGACTCATTTTTAGCAATCGAAGCAGTTCATAGCTTATTGAAGTATCAAGACGATTTCTGGGTGGTAAGCTTTGTAATTAAAATATATTCCTGACAACAGAAAAAATGAGATGATCGTTGATAATCCTAACCTTATTAACACTTATCTGCCAACAGGTTCCTGAAGATTTGGCTGCAGCTTTACGCGATCAAGAACTAATCAACAATCCTGAGAGGTTAACACCAAAAGATATAATGAAACGTTGCGAAAATCTTGTCAAATTACAAAAGTCACAACCTCAGACTAATAACTATGCTAATAGTAATAGTGATGAAATTTCTAGTGATGGTGACTATACGTTTGTACAAGTACCAGATAATCATCCTTATCAAAAACAGGCAGACCAAAGAGGAGAAAGTAATCGTGATGACTCGAATCTACATGGTTCATCGTCATCTTTGGTTAATGAAGTTTCTATTCCGGTGGAGCAACGAGCATCTTGATAAGATGGATTGAGCTCTTACCAGTAATGTATATTTAATAAAAATTATTCTAGTTAGCTTTATTACTTCCTCTTTAATAAAATAGGAAGTTAGTATAAAAAAGTATCGACTTTTTTGTATTTTTTATGTAGAATATTTTTTAAATCTTTCGGATTTTTATATTTTATATTGATTTCCTTGCGTTCAGCAGATGTCGTTATGTAAAAGAGAACCATCACCTGGGACGAGAATTAATGAGGAGATGCAATCTAATTTGCGACTTCGGAACTGGTTTCTGTCAACAATATTGGCTTTTTTTTTTTATGGTAATGGGATTAGGAATCTTATACAGTTATAATATACAATATTTATATGAATTTAGGTTTATTTTGTTTATACCAATTTTTGAAGCCAAATTATCACTATATATACATATTTATACATTTTATTATGATTATTTTTTTTGTCTTTATATATTATATGTCATATTTGTTGTATGAAAATATAAAATCAAACATATATATAAAATATTTATGTAATCAAACGTTTGTGCGTGAAATATGCATGGATTTTTGCATATTTGTTTTAAACGTTAAGGGGATTCTCAATGATTTACATTACATTTAAGTCTGTAAGTTACACAAATCGGTGTAATTATATTTAAAAATTTCTGTAATGATAATTTTAAAGTTAGTTTAGAATAAGGTAAAGTCAATATAGAGATTCAAGTATTAGAGTAATTTTTTAAATATTTTTATTTAATACTAATGGTATTAATGTTAGCTAGCTAGTAGATTTTTAAAATATACAGTATATATTTTTTTTTCCTTCAGCAATCTTGTTTATTTTATTCTGAAAACAGACTTTCATCCTTATATATGAAGAAATCTAAATCTATAGTGTTTCAACCAAAAGATAAACTCACTTACGGCTTTATCTTGCAGATGCTGTAATATCCACTTGTAGTTAGGTGAACTATTAAACTGCTGTGTTATGCTCAGATGTGATTTGCCTAGCAAATGATTGGTCTTCTTCAGAGATTCAAAACTTATTTCGGATTTATTTCACCTGAATTCATTAACTGGCTGTTGTGTCACTCCATCAAGATTCCTGCTTTACAATAAAATATTGCCAATCTGATGACATTTTTTTGTAGAGAAGGAAAAAAGAAAAAAAAAAAGATAATGGAAAACAAAAAAAAAGGTAAAAAATAAAACTAATATATTAAAGAAAATAGATACTAATATTAAAGAATATAAAAAAACCAAACTAAAACTTAAAAAAACTATTGTTAGAAAGAAGAAAATCTGTTAATCAGGCGAAAACTTCTAACTATACAAATTAATAAACTACTATTAAGTGCGAGAGTCTTGACTACACTATAACTCGTGTCAGAGTTTAAAAATTATATACTAAATATTAGACAAATTAGTCTCTACTTCTATATTTATCTACCTAGTATATCAAAATAAAAACTCAATAGGAAAAATTTCATTAACTGACTTAGTTGTAGAGAGATCAGAGTCAAGTATCGGAGCATTGTTTATACAGATATCTATTGCATTCGAGGCATATGTATATATGTGTTTGTTATTTTATTCTGATTTGGATGATAAACAATGCTGACTTGTTTGGAATGTTAATTAATTGAAGGTGATAAGCTAAAATGTTCACTTTTTACAAAAATTTTTTCAAAAAAAAGTAGTGGGTTAACGAGAATATATGAGGTATTTCTTGTAAGTTTTATAGTTGTATAGTTCAGCATCTCCATTTCTACCAACTTAGAAGTGCATTTTGGCTACTTTTACAGACTTGTTTTTAGAATAATTCTTTTGGTTTGGATTAGAGCTGCAGACATTTAGAAGGTCCAAGGTAGTACATCACTCTTCACGTCATATAAAATTTATATATAATCATATTAAACGTCACGTCATATATGTTACGTCAAACATCATAGTAAATGTTCATTGATATTCTAATGTCTGCAGCTCTAGTTTGGATACTACATACCTTGAAGAATCTATTAAAGAAGAAAAAACTTAACCCCAAAGAAACCGTTTATTCTTTTAACATCATTTATTAGTGTATCATGCCTAAATGCTTAGACCTCATTAACAACAAACTGCTTCTACTTATAGGATCAAGTTTAGTATCTACTTTGTTACTTTTTTATACATTTTACTGTGGTTTGATTTTTGTTATTGTTGACCAGAGGATCGTCAGAAAGAGCTCATTAAAAAACTTCTTTAATTTTATACAGTATATATTTTAGTAATAATAATAATAATAATAATAATAATAATAATAATCATATCAAATTAGACAATACTCCTTAACATTTACTTGTACCAAACTTATGGCTAATGAAAACAGAAACTTGTTAGAGAAAAGTAGAAGAGATAACTATACAATAACAGTTTTTACAAAGGTCACAATTTTTACAATTTACTCAGAACTCCTCTGTATATTCAGTATGCAAGTTAAAAGCGTTTTTATACAAAATTATTAGCAAGAAGGTGGTGCTTTTGTACAAAAAATTTTAATAGAAGCACTGCTTTTGTCGATGAAGTTAGATAATAGTTAGTTTAAAGGAGAACAACAAGCAAGTTTTCAATATACTCTTTATTAAAGTTTAAGGATACCTGCAAACCAGAACTCTCTACCAAACTCCACTCTTTGCACTTTATGAAATTTTTACTAAAAAGTAGAAAAAATAGCATACTCTAACAAAAAATCAACACAGTAATAGCTGCCGAAAAAGAAAAAATATATACATATGTATATGTCTACAACAGGGACAGCGTGCAGTACAGATTTTCCGGGGCACGTGATGTAGATCACTGCATATTACATAATTGTCACCTGCAGATCACGATTTTGTCACTCATACATATATATATATACTGTACAACTTTTATCGTTATCGTTACAAACTTCTGCTTCATTTAGATTTAAATACATACGCACATATGTATTGCGAAAAGTCGTGGAAT